TAAAGTCATCTAGGACACAGCTACTTTCAAACAACTTTCCACAAATCCTCCTTACTTTAGCAACCCCCCCCCCTTCTCTCCCAGTCCCCCTCCCAGAGGTGCCTGAGTCTTTTCAGACTTTGCAGTGAGCCTCATTGGTTCTTTACTTTCCCTGTCAACCAGCTTAGCATTCAGCTTTCTCATAGTGGCCAAGTCCATTATCCTTTATCCGTTCCAAGCTTCCAAAAATGTGTCGCTTTTGTCTCCTTTCCTATTCATCCCATTCTCGTGATAATTTTAGAATGGTTTTGGGAAGGAGCAAAATTAGATTCATGTGTTCGACTTGACATCTTTATCCAGAAGCCTAAAGTATGTGCTGAAGCTATGGTAGCTGGCACTCGAACGGCAGTCACAGAGATGGGTGGACTAAAATAAAGATTCCAGAAACTCACCCAGTATGTGAAAAATCACCAATAAGTGATTACAGATCAATTGACTATGTGTTAGAAAAAAATTAAAATTAGCCTTTACTCACCCCATATATGGAACTTAATTCTAGTTGGATTAAAGATCTGAACCTATATACAAACTGTAAAAAAATATATGAGGGTTTTTTAATTTTAGAGAGTGTGTACATGTGCATGAGCAGGGGAGGGAGGGAGGGAGAGAGAGAGAGAAAGAGAGAATCTCAGTCAGGCTCCACATTCACCACAGAGCCAGAGGAGGGCCTTGATCCCACAACCCTGGGATCATGATGTGGGCTGAAATCAGGAGAGGACACTCAGCTGACAGAGCCATTCAGGCGCCCCTATAGGACAATATTTTTATAATCTTGTGTTGAAGACCTTCCTAAGCAGGTAAGAATAGAGGAAGGCTTAAATGGGGACCAATTAACTATGTAAAAGTTTGGGGTACCTGGATGTCTCAGTCAGTTAAGCGACCAACTCTTGATGTTGGCTCACATCATGATTGGGCCTGCTTTGGATTCTCTCTCCCTTTCTGTCTGCCCCTCCATGGCTTGTGCGTGTGCTCTCTCTCTCTCTCAAAAATAAAAAGCATTGGGGTGCCTGGGTGGCTCAGTCGGTTTAACGTCCGACTTCAGCTCAGGTCATGATCTCACAGTACATGGGTTCAAGCCCCACATTGGGCTCTGTGCTGACAGCTCAGAGCCTGGAGCCTGCTTCAGATTCTGTGTCTCCCTCTCTCTCTGCTCCTCCCCTTCTCATGCTCTGTCTCTCTCTCTCACCTTCAAAAATAAATAAAAACATGAAAAAAAATTTTTAATTAAAATAAATTAAAAAATAAAAATAAAAAGCATTAAAAAATTAACTATGTAAAAGTTTAAAATTTCCATATGACAAAAGACTCTGTTAAAAAAGATAGTTAAAAAGCAAACCTGGATGGGGAAAATATTGCCACAGATACGATCAGTTACCATCCCTCTTATGTAGAGAACTTTACAAATCAGGAAGGAAGTGATGTTTTAAAAAACGTAGCAATAAATAAGGAAAGAACTCAAAGTGGCTAACAAGCGTTTGAAAAGGTGTTGTGCCATCCTCACCACTGATCAGGAAAATGCAAACTACAACAGACAAGGGGAATACTATACATCAGTGTTCTGAGCGTGTGGTCCCTGGACCCACACAGCATCAGCACCACCTGAAAATTTGTAGAAATGCACATCTTCAGATCCCATTCTAGATCTACAGAAACAAACTCTGAGGGTGGGGTCCGTCCATCTGTGGTTTAACACGCCGGGCAGGTGATTCTGATGCTCACGGCCCAACTGTCAAAATTGGCCTAGATCGGTATGTTTGAGAACCACAGCTGTGTAGCCAGGAGAATGAAGAAATGGCATTCGGTGTTGTGCTTGAATCACACCATGCTGCGTGAAAGAAACCAGATGCAAGAGTACATACTGTGGGATTCCATGCATGTGGAGTCCAAAAACAAGCAACACTAATCCAGAGTAATAGGAATCAGGAAGATGGTCAGTTACCCTCAGAGAAGGGAACGAGTAAGTAGAAGTGAGGTTACAGCGTCCAGGACACTGGTCACATTCTGTTTCTTGGTGCAGGTGCTGGTTACACAGGTTTGTTCCCGTTTGTGAAAATTCATCGTTCATTTCGGATTTGTACACTTTTCTCTATGCTGCATTTCAGTAAAGCAGGGAAAGGCAGAATGTGAGATCTCTTTCTTTTTTAATCGGGTTTGAAATATTTAAAACGAGGGGCGCCTGGGTGGCTCAGTCCGTTGAGCGGCCGACTTCGGCTCAGGTAGCGATCTCACAATCCGTGAGTTCGAGCCCCGCGTCGGGCTCTGTGCTGACAGCTCAGAGCCTGGAGCCTGTTTCAGATTCTGTGTCTGCCTCTCTCTAACCCTCCCCTGTTCATGCTCTGTCTCTCACTGTCTCAAAAATAAATAAAACGTTAAAAAAATTTTTAAAAAAAATGAAATATTTAAAACGAGGGAACTTGGGGTTGAAGGGAAGACCATGCTTCAGTACAGTCAGTCCAGGGCTTGGGTGAGTAATTTGGCAGTATCTCTAACACTTCGTATAGCCTAGAAATTTCACTTCTCAGAATCCATCCTGGAATTCAGGTATAAATTAAAAGAATGTTCCCTGGGCATTTTTATACAAGCATGAAGGAGAAAACTTAAATTTCTCTCAGTCGGGAACTGGTTACACGAATTATAGAAAACCGGACAACTGTCAAAATTGGCCTAGATCGGTACGTAGTAACGTGAAAGGAGGTCCCGCATTGTATGTATACTCAGAGAAGCAAGTTATAAGCACCGTGCACAACGTGATTCATATTTTCAAGGGAGAAAGAAAAGGATATACTGGTGGTAGTTACAGATGCAAAGGAAAGAAGAAGGGTAGATTTAAAATTTTTATATTGGTTTCTCTTGAGAATTTACAGTTGGTGGATGGGGGTTGTTGCTTCTTTGTATATTTTATATATGCTCTCTCTATATTTCTGTGTCTATTTTTACCTGCATTTATCACTCCCGAATTTTAAGTCTTAGCTTTACCATTCAAAAAAGTCTTAGCCTAAAAAAATGCTCATCAGTGACAAAAACAAACACTGTTTTTGTAGTCTAAGCAAATAAAGAGCTAGAGTTTGTTTTGAACGTACACATACACCCACACAGCAGGAGATGAATAACATTTTTGTGGAGTGATTTTCATCAGTATCAGTTATAGTAAGAGACAAAAGGCTTGCTTTTTATTTCTGTTACCTAGGAAATTCACTTGGGTAGAATTCTTTTCTTGACAGGGGCATTCTTTTAACTGTGTTTGCTGGTGAGGTCATGGGTCAGGTACTCCTGCTCTTTGAGAGATGGTTCAGTTAACGATATTGTCCCTGTGTGTAAAAGATGACCACTGCTAGCACATTAGACAAAGCGTCTCTAGGCAGTGGACTCTGCTTTAATAATGAAAAACGTTTCACATGCAGAGCCAAGAGCTGTTAGCTGAGCCTGGTGAGCTGGACACGGGCTTCTACTGGAGACTCTTAAACCCTTGCACTCCCCTGGAAAGACACCCTAACCCTGTTTGCCATGTTTCTTTCACACACTGTAATGTTTCCTGGGTGCATCATCAACAAAGGGCTGTTCTCACCCTTTCAGTTGGAATCAAGAATGCCGTGATGTTATTTCAGGCACCACCACGCTGGATTACATCTACTACCTGTCTCACTGATCCAATGAGTGTCACATATATGTGTGTAGATTACCTGTCAGTTATGCTGAATTCAGGCCCGAAATCCCATTAGTGTGAGGCTTAGCACTTTCCGGAATTCTGTCCCATTTTGTACATCACTTTCGATAAATTCTGCTGCCACAAATGTAAGCATAAAAACACATCTCCATTAAGCATTGCTTTGGAATTCGTGTACAATATCAACTAGATCAAAAGAACAGCGACTTTCAACTCTAAAGAAGGGAAACAGCAACATTTAGAGTCTGTCTAGTGCTCTCCAGCACAGCATCCAAACTGTACCAGAGAGGTGGGCTTCTCTCCATGAGCAGTGTAAAATGTCCCTTGGAAACCTGTCTGAGGGCTTCAGTGTCTTTTTTTTTTTTTTTAATGTTTATTTTTGAGAGAGAGAGCTCTAGCAGGGGAGGGTAGAGAGAGAGGATCTGAAACGGGCTTCTTGCTGGCAGCAGGGAGCCAGATGCGGGGCTTGAACTCATGAACCGTGAGATCATGACCTGAGCCGCAGTCGGACGCATAACTGACTTGGCCACCCAGGTGGCCCATATGTGTCTTCCTTCTTAAAAAGGGGCCTGCACTCTTGTCCCTGCAGCGTCCCCTTCTAATCGCTATCTGGAGTCCCTGACCACCTCAGATTGCATGGGTTGAACAACTGAGGAACTGTTGTTCAGATCAGCCTGTTAACCTGTTCCTGTTTCATTGTTCCAGGTGAGGAAATGACACCCTAATGCACATCGTGTATCTTTCCAGAGACTCTGCATGTCTTTCCACTTTATCCTGGTCTAACCTGTGAAGTCTATTAATGTCCTAGCTGCTGCTGAAGTCTGTCTCGAATTCCCTCACTTGCATATTCACTGCCACCATCTCGGTCTTGAATATGTCATCTTCTCTCACTGAGACTATTGTGACAGTCTCTGAGCTTGTCTGCTTATGAGTGCACACGCACGTGAACACACACACACACACACACACACACACACACACACACACACCCCTTTCCCCTCCATGTGTCCATTCTCCTCAATCGGCCAGAGTGGTATTACAACCAAACTAACATGAGTTCCCTCCTTGGTGAGGCATAGAAGGAACCACACCTGGTGGAGTTGTGGCACAAAGGAAACTTTATCTGCAACAAATGAGATCAAGGGGAATAACTTCCAAGCCTTGATTCCCAAGCAAGGTGAAAGGGTTCCTTTTATTTAGGGTTAGGATGAATATTTAGATAGGGGAGCCTTGTCATCGTATGTAGAGGCGGGCATAAGGCCACGCGTGCGCCTTAAGGAAACATGCCTGTACATAAATGAGGTGAGGCTTGCCCTCTGACTTGGAGACTGGGTGGAGGTTTAGTATTACAGTGAGGGAAAGGTAACTGTTGGTCATTCCCTGGGTCACTCCATGGTCTATCTGCACAGGCGTGAGTGGGGGTTAAGTGCAAACCGGTCTGTGAGTGGTCCGGCCACTTCCTGTTGCTTGAGGAGTAGTTTCAATTTCTGTCATGGGATGTTATGCCCGTCTGGTCTTTTGCCTGAGTTAAAAGATAAGCTAGAAAGAAGAGCTTAAGGAAAAATGAGGGACAGAGGTCGATAAGTACAAGCAGGTGAGGCAGTAAAGGTCAGGTTCTGGGTCTAGCTGGCGACAGTATAAAGAACTTACGCCTGGGCCCATATAATCTGACCCTTCCCAACCTAACATTTTGCACCAGTGTCCTAACTTTCTATACTTTCTTTACAGGTTCTAGAAGGCAGCAAAGCCCTTCCCCGCTCCGGACGAAAGTTCTGTGCCTAGAACTCTGTCTTCCCATCTGTCTCTCTCGCTAGCTCTTACTGGGTCTGGAGGGTATTCTTCAGCATGGCCTTCCCTGACACTTCCCATGCCTGCAACAAGGTCATATCTGTTACACACCCTTACCACAGCCTTCATTTTCCTTCACAGCATTTGTCACAATTAGAATTATGCAGATATTTCCCCCCACGAGGCTTTAAGTTATGTACAGCAGGGTGTGTTCAGTAATGTGTGCCTGACCCCGTCCTTGGGGCCTGATAGCAGGAGGCCTGGCAGAGTTTAGGTGCTCTCAAGGGTTAAACAAGTGAGTGAAAACCATCTTCCCAGCTTTGTGATTAAAGTCTCTTTAGTATTTTGTTCCCTACACCTTGAACACAGCTAAAGCAGAAATGAAATAATTTGTCCTGAGTCACACAGCAATCCAGAACTTGCAGCCAGAGCCTGCCCCGGGCTCCTGATGCTATCTCCTGGGGATATGGTTTGGATCTAACTTCTTCATGGCTTAGGAATAAAGTCCTGGTCCCTGGAAGGTACTGGAATGCGAGATGCATACTTTGTTGCGGCTTCCCTTTGTTCAGGGCTAAAGACGCCTGCAGTTTGGATCGGTTTCTTTTCCCTTGATGAAACCTGCCTCTAGTCCATGGGTGACATTCATTTGGCTTTGGCTTTGGTCTTGTTTGTCAGCAGTGGTGAAGATTTGGATGGCTGTTACCGGAATAAATGCACAACTTACGTTAAAACACTGAATGCCGGCATCTGCCCTGGGCCCTTGTTTGTTCTCCTTTTCAGAAGCTCTCTCAGGCCATGTGTTACTTGCCCTCTGCAAGGAAGAGGGGGAGAGGCGTGAGGGAAAGCAGGGGGGGGGTGGGGGGCAGACAGTAGTGGCCGTGAGGTATCCTCAGAGATTCATCCCTTGAGAGCGGATCAGTCCCAGTAGACCTCAAGTACACCTGCAGTCTTGTTTTCTTGACAAGTATCAGCCTGTGAGCAAATTCCAGCCACAGATGTGTGTGGTTTGTCCCCTCATGGCGTCTTAAAAATCATCATTAGTGCTAACATTTAAAAATCAAGACTATCAGGGTACTTGGGTGGCTCAGTTGGTTGAGTGTCCGACTTTGTCTCGGGGCACGATCTCTCAGTTTGTGAGTTCGAGCCCCACGTCGGGCTTGCTGCTGTCAACCTGTCAGCACAGAGCCCGCTTTGGATCCTCTGTCCCCCTCTCTCTGCCCCTCCCCTGCTAGCACTCTCCCAGGAATAAATAAATATTTAAAAATCAAGATCGTCATGTACAAACTTGAGTTGCTGTGTTTTCTTGGAGGAAAAAAGAAAGATCTAAGAAAACTGGTGCACCACAGGGGGACCTGGCTGGCCCCATCAGTGGAGCGTGTGACTCTTGATCTTGGGGTCGTGAGTTCAAGCCCCACATTGGGGGGGGTAGAGTTTACTTTTTAAAAAATTGGCCCTTGGGGCGCCTGGGTGGCGCAGTCGGTTGAGCCTCCGACTTCAGCCAGGTCACGATCTTGTGGTCCGTGAGTTCGAGCCCCGCGTCAGGCTCTGGGCTGATGGCTCAGAGCCTGGAGCCTGTTTCCGATTCTGTGTCTCCCTCTCTCTCTGCCCCTCCCCCATTCATGCTCTGTCTCTCTCTGTCCCAAAAATAAATAAACGTTGAAAAAAAAAATTAAAAAAATAAATAAATAAATAAATAAAAAATTGGCCCTCAAGCCAATTTGACAATAAATTGTACCTTCTGGCATTTATGGGCACCCGAGTTTGCAACCCGTTTTATATTTGTTAGTTGTGTGTATGTGGAAATATGAATAAAGGCTGTAATGGACACTTGATGTAATTTTTTTTTTTCCTCTGTCTCTGCTTCTTTCTTTATTTTCTCCTTGTGTCTCCCTTTTCTTTTCCACTGCCTCTACCGTTTTGCAGGTTCTGGGACTGCTGGTGTGGACACTTATCGCTGGAACCGAGTACTTCCGGGTCCCTGCTTTTGGCTGGGTCATGTTTGTAGCTGTGTTTTACTGGGTCCTCACCGTCTTCTTCCTCATCATCTACATAACAATGACCTACACCAGGATCCCGCAGGTGCCCTGGACAACAGTGGTAAGGAAGCCGGGGGTGTTGTTACTGTCCATTGCCAGCTATGCAGGTTGGAACTTAGTCCTTTTTTCCTCAATTCAGTTGTCTCCCTGCCGGCAAAGCAGGGGGCAAAGCCAGGGAGAACCCAACACAGCAGATAATCTTTATGTTATCCAATTGTCTCTAGGGTGATTATACCTGAGTGTGAAACTGGGCATATGGGAAAGTCCAGGAATTTCTTCTTTTTTTTTTTTTAATTTTTGTTGTTGCTGTTGTTGTTAGTGTTTATTTTTGAGAGAAAGAGAGACAGCGTGAGTGGGGGAGGGGCAGAGAGAGAGGGAGACACAGAATCGGAAGCAGGCTCCAGGCTCTGAGCTGTCAGCACAGAGCCCGACGAGGGGCTCAAACCCACGAGCCATGAGATCGTGACCTGAAATCCTAGAAATTCGACAGAACTCCTTTATTTTGTCCCATCTCCACCTGCTTTCATTCAAACTGGCAGTGTTTCACGCATATAATCCCTTACCTGTTCCTGGCTTCTGCCTGTACAAAATTAGATCTGTGGTTTGCACCCGTGATCTCTTTATCAAATGGTTGTTCGGCCACACCTCTGGTGTTCTCTTAAGAGCAAGCTTTCTTATTTTTTACAATATGGATTAAGCTAAGGACTTTCCAGACCATCAAGTTCTGCTTCTTTTTTGCTTAACGGTTTCTTTTTGTTGTAAGTTTATTTATTTTGAGAGAGAGAGAGAGCAGGGGAGGGGCGCAGAGAGAGGGAGAGAGAGGATCCCAAGGAGGCTCTGTGCTGCCAGTGCAGAGCCCGATATGGAGCTCGATTCCACAAACTGTGAGATCATGTACCTGAGCCTAAATCAAGAGTCGGACGCTTAACCAAATGAGCCACCCAGGCACCCCAACAATTTCTTCATCAATTCATCTGTTTCCATTTGCATTTTACTGCAAACAGAAGGAACCAAGCCTTGCCTTCACACTTTGTTTTAAAAATCTCCTCATTTAAATATCCAGCTAATCCAGTTTTGTTGCTTATAAGCTCTATCTTCCATGAAACAATAGAACCCAGTTCAGCAAAATTCTTTCCCACTTTATGACAAGGATCACCTTTCCTCCAGTTTCCGAAAACATGTTCCCCACGTGTGCATTGAGATCTCTCCACAGTGGCCTTCAACATGCACACTTGTACTAAGATTCTGTTTGTGATTATTTATGTATTCCCTAAGAAGATGGAACCTTTCTCTCTAGCTCTTCTCTTTTCTTTCTGAGCCCTCACCAGAATCCCCTTCAACATCCGTATTTCTAGTATGCTCCTCAAAACTCCCCAGCCATTACTCATTATCGAGTTCCAAAGCGACTTTTACATTTTTAGGTATTTGTTATAGCATCAGTTCCACTCCAGACTCCAAATCTGTCTACCCCACTCTCGATACAAAGTCTGTATTAGAGTGCTCTAGAGAAGCATAGGCAATAGGGTGTGTGTGTGTGTGTGTGTGTGCACGCGTGCACACCCACATGAAGAGATTTATTAGAAGGAATTGGTTCACATGATTATGGAAACTGGGAAGTCCCAAGATCTGCTGTCAGCCAGCTGGACCCCTGGCACACTGATGGTGTGGTTCCGGTCCGAGCCTGAAGGCCTGAGGACCAGGGAACCTGGTGTTTCTGTTCAAGCCCAAAGGCAGGAAAAAAGACTGATGTCCCAGCTCAAGGCGGTCAGGCAGGAGCAGTTCTCTCTTACTCAGCCTTCTTGTTCGATTCAGGTCTTCAACTGATTGGATGAGGCCCACCCACATTAGAGAGGACAGTCTGCTTTACTCAGGCTGTAGATTTGAATGTTAATATCATCCAGAAGCCCTCATAGATAGACCCCGGATAACGTTTGACCAAATATCTGTGCACCTGTGGCCCAGTCAGGTTAACACAGAAAATCAACCCATCATGGTACCCTATGACATATAGCGAGGTGAAGGTATGTACAAAGTGTGATGGAAACTACCACCTCAGCTTGGGACAGCTGGGAACTCTTGAGAGAGGAGGCAGCATTTAGTGTCATCTTGAAGACTGATCACACACATCCTGAGGGGAGCTCAGAGATAGAAGGTGAGGTCCCCTTTGCCTTTGGAGAATTTATAATCTTTTTTGGGGGAGTTGGACTGGCTGCACGATTTAAAAAAACCAAAAAAAAATCCAAGTGGTGCCACACGTGTGTGTGTACAAAACAGGGCTCAGAGCGATACTATCTTTTTGTTTGCTTGTTTTCAACCAGTGGATCAAAAAACTATCCAATTCCAAATAAGCGACTGATAAGCCAGATTTGAAGCATAGTGTGTAAGTGTGGTGTAGACCGAAATAAAGCTGGCAGGCTTTAGCGGCCTCACTGCTCAAGTGTATCTGGCCTGGTTCTTTCTGGGAGCTGCTTTCAGAGCTAGCTAAGTTAACCCGCCCCCCCCCCCCCCCCCCCACACACACACACACATACACAAATAACAGGTGTCATTTGATTGCATGGAACACATTGACGGACTCTTAGCAGTCTCCCCAAATACGAACGTGAGGATTTTCCGTTATGATTTTCGGGAACATGGGGCAGGCTCTGAAAGTAACTCCAGCCGAGGTGCTCGTAGCTGCCTGGGGCAGCCCACGCAGCCTGGTTGGAACGGGCGTCCTGCCTCGCTGGGTGGGCACCGGGAAGAAAGACTCATCTGGATGTGGGGAATCACAAAAGGTAGAAAGCACCTTGAAGTAACAGCCACGTGGGAATACGGGGAGAGGGCATCATTCAAGTGACCTGGAGGAACGGGAGGAATGCCGTTTGGGAGGACGATGGGTCTTAAAGGATGTCTTGAGGAAAGTACTTGTGAACTTGGAGGAAGAGAACTTGGAAACTGTAACGGGAGAGCCAATGGTTAAGATGCAAGAATGAGCTGTACCTTTAATTCCACTTCTGCTGAGTCTCAATTCCTAGGCATGTTTTCTGTAGTTTTTTTTTCTTTAAATTTATTTTCTATAATTTATTTATTTTGAAAGAGAGAGAAAGAGAGAGCACATAAGCAGAGGGGAGAATCCCAGGCAGGCTCAACATGGTCAGTGCAGAGACTGATGTGGGGCTCGAACTCACAAACCTTGAGATCATGACCTGAGCCGAAGTCGGATGCTTAATTGACTGAGCCACCCAGGCACCCCTAGGCCAGATATGTTTAGAATCAGGATTTCCACCCCCTCAGATTTTAGAAAGATAATAATCTGGTGCATTTACTGCGTAAGATCCTGAGTCTGGGGGCAGCACTGTAATCAGACATGTTAGCATTTCTGCATGAACACGTGCATTTTCCTGCAAAGAGGGGTAATAAAGACTGCATTGCCCCCATGTCAGTACAAGTCAGCTTTTGCTGCCAGATGACTTTTGGATTTACTTTTGGTTCTCAGAGCATTTGGGGAATCTGAGATTGCCGAGAAGGGATGAGCAGACCAGGCTTTCATCCACTGGGAACTTGGCTGGGAGACCAGCCCATGGGACATGACAAAAACCAGAGTCTCATAGTTTTGCCTGTAGCTCTTTGCTTGATAAGGCATGAGCTTTGCACTGGAATTGATTCAATTGTAGGCATGTTTTCCGGGCCATATGCGTCACCCAGAGAGGCTGGGATGTGCTTTGTGACAAATCTGATTTGAGCTAAAACTTCAAAGCAATACTGTTTGTCCTCCTTGGGGCACTAAGCCCCAGGACCTGCACAAATGCATTTTCTGAGGATTCATCCTCCACAGCTCATCCCTGTCGGCCTCGTTGCAAGCACTCTGAGCAGTACAGGGCAGAGGGCACAGCCTCCTTTTATAGGCAGTAGCAGCCACCATTCATGAAGCACCTACTGTGTGCCAGAGGTCAGGCTGGGTCCTTCATAGATTACATCATTTCACCTCACCCTAACTGCAAACACGGGGTGGATTATTTCCATTTTGCAGGTGAAGAAATAGACACCGAAAGGGTTTTGATAGCCAGGGAATGGGAAGCAGGTCCCCTGCTGCCAACCACAGCCGTCAACCCTGGAGTCTCCTTGGCGGCCAGGGTTCACAAATGCCCTGGTCCTAGCCTTCGGGAAATCGCTGGAGCTGAGAGGACCTTCCTCCTCTCCACTGTGAAGGGATGAGGAGTTCTCTCTCCGCAGTTAGGTTTGGTCAGTCGTGGACACCAGTGCTACACGGTGGAGGGCCAACAAGGAGGCCAGCTATTTGAGAGTTTTTATCTGTGTGCCTTTATTTGGGGCGGGGGG